TCAAATCTTGAAATGCGGCTAATAAATGTGCATAAGGGAATACATCATCAATTTCAGCCTTTTCTCACACTTCACACATAGATTCATCCTCTAATCTAGACAAGTGATCAGAAACTTGATTCTCAGTCTTCTTTCTATCTTTTTCCTCAAAATCAAACTCTTGTTATAATATCACCCATCTAATTAACCTTGGATTCACATCCTTATTCTCCATCTAATTAAGTAAGAAGCTCTTGTTCGGTTACAGTGTAGTTGTTTTGAGTTTCATTCAAGGCCTTACTTGCATAGTAAATGGGGTGAAGGATTTAATCCCATCTTTGTCCCAATACCACACCAAGATAAACCCAACTTGTATTGCACATCACCTCAAATGGTTTACTCTAATATGGGGAAATTAAAATAGATGAAGACACCAACTTCTTATTTAATTCTCCAAACACTTTCAGACATGATTCATCGAAATAGAACTTACATTCCTTCACGTGTAGTTTGCATAAAAATTGTGCAATTTTCAAAAAAATCCGTGATAAACCTCCTATAAAAACCACCATTACCAAGAAAACTTCTCACACCTTTTACAGAGATTGGAAGGGGGAAGCATCTCTATAACTTTGAATTTAGCTTGATCAACCTCTATTTCCTTTTACGAGATGCAATGTCCCAATACTATACTTTATTTCAACATAAAGTGACATTTTCCCCAATTAAGAGCAAGATTGCAATCTACACATCTTTCAGTACCTCTATTTAATGAATCAAACATCAATCAAAGGAGTCACCAACTATTGAAAAATCATCCATGAATACCTCAATAGTGTCCTTCACAAAGTCTGAGAATATCAACATCATACATCACTGGAATGTGGCTGTTGCATTACATAATCCAAACGACATCCTTGTGAATGTGAATGCCCCATAAGGGCAAGTAAAAGTTGTTTTATCTTGATCTTTAGGGGCAATGGTAATCTGATTATAATCCTAATAACCATCAAGAAAACAATACCACCATTTTCCTGTGAGTCTATCTAACATCTGATCCATAAAAGGAATGGGAAAATAGTTCTTCTTAGTCCACACATTCAATTTTCGGTAGTCCATACAAACTCTCTATCCGGTCAATTGCCTCATTGGAACAAGCTTATTCCTCTCATTAGGAACCACTGTCATCCCACCCTATTTGGGCACACACTGGACAGGGCACACCCAACTACTGTCTACAATGGGATAGATGACTCCCGCATCCAACCACTTGATGATCTCTTTTTTCACTAACTCCTGCATGGGTGGATTCAACCTTTCTTGATTCTCAATACTCGATTTGTGATTGGGCATGATTTGGATTTTGTGTTAATAAGTACCGGTGGAATACCAATTATGTTCGTAATATTCAAACCAATGCATCATTTGAACCTCTTCAAAACCTCTACCAAACATTATACTTGTTGCCCATTCAAATATGCTGCAATTATCACCGACAAAGTATCATTTCTTTCTATAAACATATAACTTAGATGAGGTGGTAGAGCCTTAAGATCTAATTTTAGAGCCTCTTGAATAGATGGTTTCATGGATGGAGACTCGTAATGCTTCATATATAATTTCAATTTCTTTTGTTTTGGACCATATTCATTTTGTTGAAGTGTAGCGACTAAAACCCCGTACGCTTCCATACCATTACTCGCAAAAGTCATGATCACTGGTGCTAGTGACTCGACACCTAGTCTCTCTTCAATTTATACCTCGGATATACTCTCAACTCTGAAGGATGTACCAGATACTGTTTGGAGGTCACCACTATGCTTCATGGACCTACAGATATTGAAAGTTTCTTCTTTATTTTTCAACCTAAACTTCATCTGCCCCTTTTCCATATCAACCAATGCATGCCTGTATGGCAAGTATTGGCTTCCCTAGAATAATGGGAACCTCAAAATCAACCTCACAGTCAAGAATCACAAAATCGGCTGGAAATGTAAATCACTCTTGTTTCACAAGCACATCATGGAGTATACCAACTGGCCTCTTCAGTGTTTGATCGGTCATCAGGTTTATGCTTTCACCAAGATCACATAATGCCTTAGAAAAATATAGTTACACGATTGTACATGGAATACTGAAAGCTCCCGGATCTTCCTTTTTTTGCAAAAGAGATTTTGACCTACAATGTTGTATTTTGTCATCATCCTGAAAACTTACTGATCTCTTCTTTTTCACCATATCCTTTGTAAACTTTGCATAAACGAGCATTTTTTCCAGAGCTTCTATCAAAGGATCATTGATAGAAAGTTGTTTCAATATAGTGATAAATTGTAGGTATTTGCCATTCTCAATCTTTTTCACCAATGTTTGAGGGAACGGTTGTGGAGGTCTAGGAATGGGTATTAATTTATGAGACACCTCTGCTTAAATCGCTGTGTTGTCCACCAACTCTCTACTAGTCTCTCCAACCTCTTTGCCTTTTCTCATATCATCCTCTACCACATACGACATAGGTAGATCAATGTTTTGCTTACCCCCTCGAGTAGTGACCACCATTCAATGACCATAATTTATAGGCTTTTGAATGGTGTTGCTAGGAAGACTGCTAGGTTGGCGTGGATTACAGTAATAGACAGCTGAGCCATCTGTAGGTCAAGATGCTTGATCAAAATCACATGTGCATCCACCTTTTGCAAAACATTAGCTAAATCACCTCTTATCTCCTTGGCATGATCATCACTAGTATCTAATCTCCTCATCATCTTTAGTAAAATATCTTCTACTCGCGCCATACTACCTCCACCATCCCTAGGAGAAATTTTCCGATTTTGTGAGGGAATGTAGGGCCCACTCCAATCATTCCTATTACCATAATTGCTCCATTTGATGTTGTTGTCGCAATTATAGTTCCCATCTTGAACATATTGACCCTCTTGATTGTAGTTACCATAGTTCTTACCTTGATTTCCTTGACCTTGGCGCCAATTATCCTGATTGGAGCCTTAAGCTTTTGGTTGAAAATCCCCCCTCTGCTGATTCACTGCATAGGAATCTTTTTCTTAATAATACTCATCTACCGGTGGTGCTGGTTTAGACAAGTAGTTCACCACATATACTTTTTCTGCACCTCCTCTCAAATGTTTCAAAACTAACCATAGCTCAATTCTCATCTGTGCCAACTCTTCATGCATCTCATCTACTGTTGGGTTGTTCGTAGCCTGTATTGCAAAGGTGTTTCTTCCAGTGTCTGACTTTCTTGTGCTCTTAGCCATGTTTTTGCGAGATATCTTCTCCAATTTCTCTGCGATCTCTGCAGATGTGCACTCACCATAGGAACCCCCACAAAAGTGTCGAGTAGTGCTTTATTGTTATCATCTTGACCCGGATAGAATTACTCCTTCAAAGACTCATCATCAATGCGGTGGTTTGGGACACCTCTAACAAATGCAGTAAATCTGTTCCAAGAGCTACTCACTGACTCCCCAAGTAGTGATACAAAGTTGTTCACTTCATCTTTGTGGTTGAGCTTCTTGGACACTGCGTAGTACCTTGATAAGAACCCATCTCTCGACTGATCCCAATTAAAAATGGAGTAGTAGGGAAACTTAGTAAACCATACGGTGGCATCTCCTGTCAGTGATAGAGGAAACACTCGCAACCCAATGGCATTCATATCTAAGTCTGGCCTACCCACACAACTCTTACACAGACCTCAGTTTGGCTATATGAGCATGAGGATCCTCTCATAGAAGTCCTGAGAATAAACCCCTCGCGGGGAGCATCTGTGTCAGGATACTCATCACCAGAATGTGTGCCCAAGTGGCAAAGGGTGTAGGACAAGAGGTACATCGGACTCAACAATTTTAACAATGACCCTATTGCAATCCTGAGGTCTTGGTGTTGGGGCATGCAACCTCAAATCATTCTCCAAATCAACTTGAACTTGATTGTGTGCTTCAACCAGTAGTAAAGGTTAACAAATTGCCCCATTGCCTGGATTGGCGGGGTTCTGTTGATTTTCCATTCTTCATAGTGTACGGTCATGTTTAGGATCGAATGGAGGAAGTGGCTCTCCTTGGCTTCGTGTACTTGGCATACACTAAAGCTAGACCTGAAAGAGATAAAAACAAAAACAAAATAAAATAAAATTAGGGAATTGTTTGAATAAATATCTATATTGTATTTAAGGTTAATCTAAAAGCCACCTTCCCCGATTGCGGAACCAAAAATTTGATACACTCAAATTACACATCCCCAAAGAAGTGTAAATAGTCGTATAAAGTAAAAAACCCGAGTAGGTTGGGGTCGATCCCATGAGAAAAATTGTTAAGACTTAACTTCAATGTACTGTTATATCTATTTATTCAATCTCTTTATGAAAACAAGTAACTTAACAGGGGGGGGGTTCGTGTAACAAGTTTCTTTAATATCTCTAAATAAACAAGTAAGCAAAAGTAAAGATTGAGTTTTTATCAAGTTATGAGATAAACTAGGGTGTATGTTTTCCCCATAGGTTCATAACTCTGTATTTCTAGCAATGACAATTCTTCCCTAGTGTTTTGCATGCAAAGTGGTAAGTTAGGTATCTCTAGATCCTTGGTCCGACATTTAGAGAATTTCACCCTCTACCTTGGTTTGGCTACGTGTGTATAAGCTACTAACCCTTAACCTTACTTTATATTAAGCATCATAATCGATTTATGACTTAGTTAATAATTCACACCAATTGACACTATCCTATTAGATAGTACCCCACTAACTCTATATTGATAATTTTTTTCTTATTACTACCTCCCTGCTCCGACAAGTAGAAACAAGACAAAATCTAACATTGACTACCGTTAAAAAGACTTCTAAGCGAAAGAATTATCAATATAAGCAAGAACCTATTTGAGAATTGTTATTTAGCTAGGTCTTCTTTGTTAATAATCCATGGTTCCCACAACCCTAGTTGTGGATTTCGTTACCCATGCAATAAAGAAAACAATTCATGATTGTTAAGAATGAAATCATGAACTTACTTTTACAATGTGAAGAAAACCCAACAAATCAACTTGTAATTTCACAATACTACTTGAAACCAAATTTGGAAATTAAATTATTGCCAAAGTTTGCAATACCCTAATCTCCAAACAAAAACAAGAACAATAATAATAGTGTCTAACCCCAAAAATGAGGTTTTAATCCCTATTTATAAAAAACATAGTCCTAAATTAGAAGGAATTGAAATAAGAAAACATTGACCAAATATGCAGCTATAATCGACGAACCCCACAGACGGACCATTGATGGAACAACGATCCATCGACTGCTACCATCAGTCCATACTTAGATTTATTTTTTTTCTTTCAGAGTGAATCATTTCTGAATTAATCAACGTACCAACAGCAAGGTCAGTCGATCCACCGACGGTCCGTCGATGCCCTTTGTCGCTTCATCATTAGAATCTCTCCAACATCGGCTACTGGGATTATCTATGATCAAATCGATGATTTAGCAGAATGGTCTGTTAATCAATCAATGGACCGTCGATCCTCTATGTGGTACCACACTTTGTTATATTTCCCCGAGTTTCTCCATTTGTCTTAAATTCAATCGATGGTAACCATTTCACAGACAGTTGATTGAACGCCAGGCCATTAATGGCCTTCGTAGCTCACATCTATGCATTATTTTCAAGCTGCCTGCATTTTTATTATGGACATCTTTACTGCAAAACAAATACAAAAGAATATTAAAACTAATAAAAAAACCTCTATACACACACAAATTTTGAGCAAAAAACATTGAAAGGACCGCGAAACCATGACACATCACCCTCCCAATATCGATTTGGCCTATGTTGTAGTATCTCGTGATCTTTATGCCAGAATGATTGTTATGAGATTCAATGATGATAAATTGAGTTAGTTACATCCAATGATGTAAATATGTATAGTTGATCCAATATGGATCAAGGTTTGAATATTTGAATAAGATTAGCCTATAATTATCCTATCTTCAATAAATTGCTATTATAGTTTCAATGTGATCTCAATTCTATGGTTAATTGAAGTAGGATTTTGTTAGGTTTATATATCTTTAGCTACAGACTTATATTTATATTATTGATGAATTATGAGTATTGATCATTTATTATCAAAGCAAGGGAGTTTTGGTAAGATTGATCTATGTTATCTTATCCTATATAGATTGATAATTCAATGTACATAATGTGATCTTAATTCTAGGATAAATGAAGTATGATTTCATTTATGATAATATACATGTAGATACTGCCCTACATTTTATAATATTGATGGATTGTGAGTATTTATCAATGATGGTAAAAGGTTGATGAATTGGTAAGATAACTCTATTCCTCTACTTTTCTATAGTATTGTTGATAGAGTTGGACTTGTATGACATTGTGTGGTATGGTCCACTTATGGTGGAGGTGTTTTCTTCTTTTCAATCTATATGTGTGTTGATTGTGTCCTTAAAGGAAACTTGATTTTATATGGGTGTGTGGTTATGATGATCACACTATGTGAAGTTTATGCCTAGTTTCTACTCTAGTTATGACCTAGGTTGTGTTGCTAAGATTACAAGCATATGAATGACTATGTTAGGGCTGGTTTAGGTGCTTCAATTTATGATCTATAAATTGTTAATTAACCCTTACCTATATACCCTTATATGAATGTGTGATCAACTCTGGTTAGGAGTCTTGAATGTATGTATTGTAGTGATCTTGTCTCCTATGATGTTATGTGTTGTGTGGTATATGCTTAAAGGTACATTGTGGTCCTAAGAGGGTGGATGCCTCAATGTGTTGTTGATACCAATTAGGTGATCATGTTGACCAATGTACACACACACAAACTTCATGCATGCTTACAAGTAGTATAGGTCCATGGTGTCTAATGAAAGGGTATCCTTATATGCACTTGTGCCTAGTACTATTCATGTAATGTATATGTCCATGAAATATGATTATGTATCCCTTAAATAGAATTACTTGATAGGTGTACTAGTATGGGAAAGGGTATGGGACCTTGTCTATGCAATGCACATGTGTGCCTTGATAGGATAGTTCCTAGGTTCAGTTTTCTATGTACATGAATATGGATGCATGATTCTGTTAATGTATGAACATGTGTGGTCTTAATGTATTGTGTGGAAGTATTGATCACATATATGTATATTTATACACACACATGTATGATAATCTAATCAATATAGGGGCACTTGGAAGGTGTTCCCAAGAGTACCCTAAACTAGATGGTGATTTACATATACTATATCCATGTGAAAGGACTTCTCACATGATTTAGGTTGATTAACTCTCATATATGACCTATGACCTAAGCATATCAGGAGTCAATCTCGTAAAGCCTAGTTTTATAAAGTAATTTTATTAAACGCTTTTTAATAAAAGAGAACTTAGCTTAGCACCGAGTAAAGTTAGATGAGGGGTGCCCCTTCCCAATGTGGGAAGGTTTTTTCACCATAGTCCTCACGAGGAGGATAACTACAATGCCTCAATAGGTATAAAGAGGGTTTCCATAAGTAGATAACTACAATACCCCATTTGGCATAAAGAGGGTTTCTATATATACCTCCACGTTCCATAAACTATGCGTGCCACATAGGATCTAGAAACTGATATCACCTAATAGCATGTATTAATGTTCTACCTTGGCTAGGTAGAAAAACATTCCTTTTTTGTAAGGTTTACAACACCAAATTCCATGTAGCACCCATGGTCTTAGTGTCGGTTAAGGCTATAGTTTCCCTAAAGTAATATGGACAATGGAAGTAAAGTAAAGACCCTAACTAGGATAACCTAAGGGTAGTTGGTTAGTATAGATTGGGGTATGAGACTTCAATCATGCATTGTACAAGAAGCTATTGAAGGGTATTATAATGTATATAGCTATGTTTATATTCCTTATGCATGGCATTTTAATGTTGTCTACATGTTGTAATGATGTGAATGCTATGAGTTTTAATAGGTCTATATGATGAGGTCTCTCCTTATGTGCGTAATGTAGGTCTTATAGACTATATGATGAAGGTCTTGCTTGGTTGGTATGAAGATTCTTTACTTGCAATTGTTTATCAATGAAGTGTGTATTAAGGCTTGTGGTCTCATGATAGGTTTACTATGTATGTTTAAGGTTATGGGGATTCACACGACGTTGCACTAGTAGATTTAGAGTGGGATTGTGTGTATGTTCTTCTAATGTTCTATGTGAAATGAATTTAGTATATGTGCATATTGACTAAGGCTTACTATAATGTCATTAAGGTCTTGACTAAAATGTATCTTATGATATGTTTCACTTCTATGAATATATGTATTGGATTAGTAAGGTTAATCTATGAGTAATTTATGGCCATAAGGTGATGCATTTCACTAAATATCACTAGAGGGTTAGTAGGAAAGTCAAGGAAATAAAGAAAAAGGGGCTTACTTTAAAATGAATGTGGTTACTCTAATTCTGTTAAGCTTATTGTAAATGAAATATTTTTACTATAAAGTGATCCTAAATATGCTTTAAATGCAATGTATGACTTTATATGATGTATAACAATTAAATATGCCTATATAAAATATGTGAATTGTATAATGCTATTGTATCAAAGTTTTATGAGGTTTTCCCAAAAAGGCATGATACATGGTTTCAAGTAATATGTCCCTTTTAAATGCATGCTTTTGCATGGTTACCATACTTAGTGCATTCTTTTACTAACACCACTTCTCTACCTTTTTACAGAAAGTGTAGTCTATGGATGCTTAAATGGATGTCTTTATGAGAAGAGCTTGATATGTGGTTCCCAAGCTCAAGGAAAGAAATCCTTAAGATTCAAGGATGTCCTATGTCAAGTTATGTTTAAGGTCATGTAATAGTTTATCTTTTATAAATATTGAAAGGGTTGTGTCCCTATTATACTCTAATGATGTTGAGTCTAGAATGACAAAAAGAGACTAGAGTCTTTAACTCTATATTATGATGTTTTATATATAATGCAAGTGATGTTTTAGCATATGATGTGCTATGACAGTTTTAAATTATACGCTAAATTTACCTATGAAAATGCGATGAATGATAACTATGAGCTAGAAAAAGACCTCGAAGAGGTAAAAGACGCCATGTTACTTCTATGGGGTGCTCCCCAGTTGTGAAAAATATAGTCCCTTGTGCAACACATAGCCCTCATTAGGAATAACATAGTACTATAAGAAAACATCATAGGCCCCACCTTATGTGCCTGCTTGTGAAGTCTCACGAAAATGCAAATATCTCTTTATTCTGAAGTCGTATGAACAAACTATTTAATGCGTTGAAATAATTGACTCGTAGACTTTAAAGCTGATGGATTGTGGTCCCCATAAATCATTATATATTGGGAGAAAATTTCTCAGATATTTGACCCAAATTTCGGATGAATGTTTAAAAAGGAACTTACGATAACTTTAATTACTAAATTAAGATTATTCCATTATCTTAATTATCACATGATTTCTAACAGCCAAGACAACCAAAGACTTTAACTACTCATGCTAACAAGTTGTGCCATTAACATGGCTCTGATACCATTTCGAGTATCCTGCGGAAGTAAAATAAATAAGAGAGAAATGAATTACTTACTTAAAAGTAGAATTTTATTCCATTATTTTCATAGTGTTTACATAGAGAGAGCATTCAAGAAAATTGTATGTTGGTGAATTTTCTGATGGTCCTAATAAAATTTACATCGCCTTTTATAGGCAAAAGAGATAAGATAAAGAGATAAGGAAATCCGTAAAGCTTTACTTCTATTGGCTCTTCGATTTCCTCCATTGCTTTGGCTTTTGATAAAGCTACTTTTGATAAAGCAAACTACATCTTTAATTTTGCTCCATTCCTTTTGAAAAGTAAGATGGCAGTTGCTTTCTCCTTTTAAAAGGAATCTTTTGACTTTATCTTTTGAAGATTGGCAATTTTAGCCTGGCTCTTCTTACTTTCGGTGATGACTTTATTTTTTCATTCTGATTAAGTAAACAAAGATTCCATCTCTTTGAGACTCCTTTGCTTCTTTCTTACTAATTCTGATCCTTTGGATCTTTATTAGAAAGAATAATTATTCCGGTTTTTTAAAAACCTCAATTAGAACATTAATCAAATGAATTTAAATATGAATTTGCTAAAGCCTTTGAATTTAGCATATCACCGTTGTCATCACTTTGAGATGATGCTTCTTCATGAAGTTGATTAATGGCAAGTTCTTCTGCGTTATCATCTAATTCTGACAGAGCCTTTTCGAGTCTCTTTTTTAACTCACTCTCTGAGGGTGAGATTGTTGAAACCGTCTTCTTTTTCGAAGACGTAGGTGTCTCCTTTTTGGAAAGAGACCAACCTTTGAATCGGATTTCTTTAGAAAGAAATTTAATCCCTTCAAAATATAGAATAACAAACGTCAAACTAATAATGTAAGAAAAACGTTTTTTTAATAAAAAACTTACAGAGTTTGATGTTCTCTGTTAGTGTAGATATGCCTTCGTCAATTTGAAATTGAGGATATTTTTTGGCAAATTGTCGAGGCATAACTTGTTTATTACCACCAAAGCAACTCCAGCGTTCGTAGAACCACCTTGGGATAGTAGAGGCTGCGACCTCTGGACAATACTTCACAAACCAAGCATGGGTGGTTGGTCTAACATACAAGAAGTTTACCCAGGCATTCTTGTAGTCATACAAGTTATATATTTTTGGATTGAATCTCTTGGAGAGATTAATAAGAGTCTGTAGATGGTCTACAGGCAAGTCATAAGGAGATAAGATCTTTTTGATAGTGAACTTTGAATTGGCAATACTGTCTGGGTCAGATTTGTCTGCCAATTCATGTTCGATCTCGACTGATCCGGTATCTACAAGGTTGAACTTGAAATACCTTCTGGATTTTAAGGAATTATCTGTTTCAACATAATTCCAGTTTGTATAAACTGGTTTAAGGAGATGTTTAATCTCGTATCCTTCATATTCCTTGTCTAAAGCAAGGATAGGGAAAACCTGTAGAGAAATCATTTAAAATTTTTCTTTCTCCTAAGGAGTACGCTTTGTGCTACTCAAGGAGACTGCTTCAGCAAAACATTGAGGCTGCTTCATGGTATAACAGTCGCTTGTTTGCTTTTGAGAGAATCTAAGTTCTCCGCTTGGTGAAGAGGAAGAGCTGGGTTCTGGATCCTTTGAAAAAGGTTTCTTCAAAACCAACATATTTGATGAACTAATCTGAGGAGGTTCTGAAGGATTGATTTGCAGTAGGTGTGCCAAGGTTGAGTACCTGTTTAGATCAGGCCTTGTTAGACTCAATTCAGGCCTCCTTGCAAATGGGCCTCTTCTTGTTAGGTAGTTTGAGCTGGACCTAGCTGGTTGTTTGCCCGCTATGGGCCTAATTTGAGGCCTACTCATATTTTCCCTACAAGAATTCTCTGGACAGAAAATATGGCAAAGAATTATTCTCACCTTTGATAAATTCAATTTGAAAATCGAAACTGGCTAACAAGGCTTGCCATCTGGCAAAGATTTGTTTAGAAACAATATTTTTTACATCTTTCTAGAGGACATCTTTAGCAGATTTACAAACTACTCTAAGAAAAAACTCTTTATTAACTATGCCATCTAGGAACTTTGTTATACAGAGAACAATAGCAAGGTCTCCTTTTTGACCGTGCTATAATTTATTTGGGCGGAATCCCAGATTCCTGAAGAATAACGAACTAGCTGTTCAAGTGAACCGGGGCTTTTCTTTTGCTTAAGATGCATCTTTCTTGACGATCATGAAGAATTCAGGGTTAGGAATACCCAAACAGGGAAGGTTTTTAACCATATCCTTAAGAAGGATTACTGCCTTGGTTTGTTCATCACTCCATGGTGAAGGATTCTTCTTTACCTGTCAAAGAGAGGCTTACAAATATGCCTAACTTTTGGAATGAAATCATCTAAGTAATTGAGACTTCCAAGGAATCTCTGCAACTGAGTTTTATCCAAAATGACATTAGGGAATTTATCAGAAAACTCAATGGATCTGCAAATGGGTTTGTAGGTGCCTTGATAAAAATCATGCCCTAAAATCTAATTTTTGTTTGAAATAATTTTATTTTCTTAGAACTAATGACCAAACCATTGTGCTTAATTATTTTAAAGAAAATATTTAAATGTTTAAAATGAGAATCAATGTCCTCGGAAAAGATTAGTACATCGTCAATATAACAATTGAAATATGACTAATATGATTGAAAATAGAATTCTTAATGTTTTGAAATTCTGAAGGGGCATTGTTAAGCCCAAAAGGCATTACATTCCATTCATATTGTCAAAACGGGACATTGAAGGCAGTTTTATATTTATCTTGTTTGGCAATTTGAATTTGCCAAAATCCTGATTTTAAATCAAATTTGCTGTAAATATTATCTTTAAAAGTTCAATTTAAAAGATCTCTTTTGTTAGGAATCGGGTAACGAATCCATTTTAAAACTGAGTTTAAAGGTTTATAATTAATAACCAGTCTAGGAGAACCTCGTTCTTGTTCAGCTGCATTGTTAACATAAAATGCTGAACAACTCCAAGGTGATTTAGAGGGACGAATAATTTTGTTATTCAAAAGACTATGAATCTCTTTTTTACAGATTTGCATTAATTCATGGTTCATGTGAATAGTCCTAGCTTTTGTGGAGATGGCCTTTTCATCAAATTCATCAATATATGGTAAATATATAACATGATATTTTCGATTCCAAAAGGCGTTAGGAAATTCTGAGCAAATTTCTTCATCAAGATTCTTTTGAAGATTAGTAATTTTAGAAACCATCTCCGGGGTTTTTAAAATTTGCTCAATTTTTTTAATTTTGATATCATCTTTCAAAAAACAAATCTGGTTGATTTTGAAAGCAGTTTGTTGATGCAAAATTTTACTTTCTTCGAGAGAAAGTGTCTTGATAAAAGGAAAGGAAATTTGTTTTTCTAAAATTTTTGTTTTAATTGAATCAAAATCTGAAATATAAAGTTTAATTTGGGTGATAAAAGGTATACCCAAAATAATTTCTTCATTAATGATTTTTGTTATGACAAAATCATTAGCCAGGCAGATATTGTCATTGCAGATATGAGCATTAGAAAGTTTGTAATTTATACAGATACGCTCACCAGTCGCACTATATAGCTTTGTAGTTCCCGTTTGGAGGTACTTGGTAGGAATAAGTCCTTCAACAATGCAATTACGGTCTGCACCACTGTCTAATAAAGCAATTTTGTTAAGTACAAAATTAGAATTGACAACTAGTTTGATCATAATGTGAGACTCTGAGGTCTCACTTTAGTGATCATACTAATACCTGCATCATCCATACCTTTTGGTGAGGAAGGGGCTGATTGATTAGAAGATTCTTCATCATCTGAAGTAGCAATCTCTTTTCCTTTAAGAGAGGCTTCTTTATCCTTAAGAAACGTTTTTGCTAAAGCATAAATTTCGATTTTGTGAAGTCTGGACTTAACTTCTCGAACTTCTTCTTTGAGGAAGTTTACCTTTGCTCGAAGATCATTAATAGAAGGTTCTTCCTTCTTATCTGAGTATCTTTGTATGATTTGTTTCATGCTGAAAGGGGTTACATTCCTTGTAATCTCTTTCTCCTTTTTCTTGGTTACAAGCTATTGGAGTTCTAAAAGATAGCTTCTTTGAGCGTCATCATCTTTGATGTGCTCGATGGTAGCAAAAAGGATTTCAGAAGAGTCTTCTGAGAGAACTCTAATAGATTGTCTGTCACAAGGACAAAATGCTCCTTGGCAATTGCATTCATGTCCACTGTCATGAGCATCGTCCTGAGCAACATTGAGGAACTCTTCGTCCTCTGTTCTTCTTCTTCTTCTGAAGATGAATCTGTTTCTTCTTCGTTTAAGATAATCAGAAACTTTTCTTTAGTTTCTTCGTCTATTTGAAGAAGATTGATCTTCTTCCCCTTTTTCTTGTTTCTAGGACAATCAGGAAACTTGTGTCTTGACTTTCGACAAGTCCAACACTCGTTGGATGTGTTGTGAGAAGCTTTCTTACTTCTCTTATTTTTAGAATATCCTTTCTTTCTAGAGGATTTCTTCTTAGAAGCCGATTTTCCCGATCGTTCTTCTTTTGAAGACCTTTTTGCAGAAGGGGGTTTTAGACTAGGGAAACCAAAGTCTTGGCAAAAACATCCAAGCTCGTTACTTGAAAATTTTTGATCCTTCTTAAGGTGCACCTTTAGCTTTAAGTCTGTACATAGTTCCATGGCTACGAAATGAATCAAACTGGTAAGATCTCCATAGGTCATTTCTGAATATGGGATTTTACCATCACATCGATCTCTTATCTTGGATCGAACCTTTTCTGCAAAATTAGGAGGTAATCCACTAAGGAATCTCTCTTTCCAACAATCGTTGTTACAGTCATCTCTTAACATGACCTTTGTTATAAACATATCTTTATACCGCCAAAAATCAGTTAATTTCTTGCAGTAAAGATTATTTAATATTTCCAAACTTCTGTCTTGGAATAGTCGTGGTTCTCCCACGAAATGATTAGCAAAACTGTAAAGAAGGGTTGTAGTTGCATCTTCCACTAACTCCAAAGACGTAGTAGTTTGTCCTCCTTCAGTCTTAACAACATTTTTGCTTGCAACAGCATTAAGGATATCATTCTTATTTTGTTTTGTGAGATAA